TGTTTCTCAGCGGCTTTTTTTTTTTTTGTATATTAGCCTTTAAGAAATTTAAAGTTGGGACTGGAGAGATGGCTCAGCGGTTAAGAGCATTTCCTGCTCTTCCAAAGGTCCTGAGTTCAATTCCCAGCAACCACATGGTGGCTCACAACCATCTGTAATAAGGTCTGGCACCCTCTTCTGGCCTGCAGGCATACACACAGATAGAATATTGAATACATAATAAATAAATAAATAAATAAATAAATATTTTTTAAGAAAGAAATTCAAAGTCAACAAAGCACCATACAGAAACCAGATGCCCTGTATTTCCCATCCTTGCATGACTTACTTACTCTCTTCATATTCCTTACCCTTTCTTTAAATACTTTAGCTTGCCTGGTGGCACACGCCTTTAATCCCAGCACTCAGGAGGCAAAGACAGAATTATAGGCCTATACCATCAAAATTGACTTGCACAAAGATCTAAATCAACTTTTGAGGGTTGGAACAGAACTGAGTGACAGAGCTCTTATTTAGCATTCATGAAGACATTTTTGCTCTCCAACATTGCTTTAAAAAAAATAAAACGTTTGCTCAGGTGGTATATAGCCAGAGGTTCAAGGAAAGCAAGCCACCATTTATGCAGATACTGAAGAGAAGGTACAGGAAGAGAAACAAATGTGTTCAATGGCCTGAAGACCTGAGATAGGAACTTGCCTGGGTACTTGGCTCATATAAGCAGCAGAGAGGAATTGGGGTAGCTGGGGTTCAATTTGAGTGAAGGACCTGAAAGAGATGTGGTCAAAGAGGTAAGGGAACCCAAATTCAAGGTCTTGCAGACCTGATTGGCTTGGGATTTATTTTTTTTTCTTTACTAATTTATTTATTATGTATATAGTATTCTGCCTTCATGTATGCCTGCCAGCCAGAAGAGGGCGCCAGATCTCATTACAGATTGTTGTGAGCCACCATGTGGTTGCTGGGAATTGAACTCAGGACCTTTGGAAGAGCAGACAGTACTCTTAGCTGCTGAGCCACCTTTCCAACCCCCTCTTTTTCTTTTTTCTTTTTTTAAAAAAGATTTGTTTGTTTGTTTGTTTGTTATGTTTGCAGTGTATGCCTGCAGGCCAGAAGAGGGCACCTTCTCATTATAGATGGTTGTGAGTCACCATGTGGTTGCTGGGAATTGAACTCAAGATCTTAGGAGAGTAGCCAGTGCTCTTAATCACTGAGCCATCTCTCTAGCCCCCTATTTTCTTTCTTTCTTTTCTTGAGATAGGGTCTCACTTTGGATCCTAGTCTGACCTTAAACTAATTCTCCTGCCTTAGCTTCCTCGATGCTGGGGTTACAAGCATGAGCCTCCAAAATTGTCTGACTTTATATTTCCACTGCTCTCTAGCAAACCCAGTAGCTAGAGACAAACCCATTTTACTCTGACAAATTCTGTGGGTCTTCAGGATTTGGCTGGATGGCCCTTGTAATCATTTGATATCATGTGAGGGCTGGGATATCTAAAATGGTTTGCTCACATGGTGAGTACGGCTCAGTGCAGTAGCTGGTACCAGCTGGGAAGTAGGAGTCTAGCCTGTCATCTGGGGTATCTACATGAGGCCTCTCCATGTGACCAGACTTCTTAGCCTGGGGACTGGGGACAAAGAGATACCTGGAAGCTTCTCACATATGAGTGTTCCAAGAGAGGGCAGGAAGGAAACTGCCCACTATGAATGCAAGTTCAGAGATAGCACAAATGACTTCTGTCATATTGTGCTAGCAAAAGCATTCATGGAGCCAAAAAGAAAAGAAAACAAAAAACTCTTTACTCTTTGGGGATCCCACCACCCAGCTTCCAAATAAATCAAATAAATACATGGAAGCTTAGTCTTTTTTTTTTTTTACTTTTTAAAAAAATTTTATTTCTTTATTTTTTGTACATTACATCATGAATGTAGTTTCCCCTCCCTCTGCTCCTTCCAGTGCCTTCCCATATCTTCCATCCCCTCTCCCCCAGACCAACTCTTGTTTTCCTTAACAACAAAAAAAGCATGCCTCCAGGAATATCCATCGAACATGGCCTAAAAAGACACAATAAGGCTAAGCGCAAACCCTTATAGCACGGCTGAATGTGACAACCTGGTAGGAGGAAAAGGGGTCCAAGTGCAGGAAGCTTAGTCTTTTTTATGAGTGCCCGGCCTTAGCTTGGTTTGTTTCTTGTAAGCTTTTCTTAAATTATCCCATCTACCTTTTGCCTCTGGGCTTTTACCTTTCTCTGTTTCTGTATATCTTTTCTTTCCTTCTTATTTCATGTCTGGCTTGGCAGCTGCGTGACAGGGCCCTGGAGTCCTCCTCTCCTCCTTTTCTCGATCCTTATCTCCTCTTCCCAGATTTCTCCTCCTATTTATTCTCTCTGCCTGCCAGCCCCGCCTCTCCTTTCTCCTGCCTTGCTATTGGCCGTTCAGCTCTTCATTAGACCAATCAGGAGTTTTAGACAGGTAAAGTAACACAGCTTCACAGAGTTGAACAAATGCAACATAAAAGAATGCAACACATCTTTGCATCATTAAACAAATGTTCCACAGCATAAACAAATGTAACACATCTTCAATTAATATTCCACAACAAGTTACTTTACAGATTATGTGACAAAATACCTGACCCCCCCCAAAAAAAAACAATTTAAGGAAGAGTTTATTATTTCAGCTCACAATCTTAGACCACAGCCCACTATCACAGAGAAATCATGGTGGCAGAGGCCTGAGGTGGCAGGCGACATGGTGTCAACAACTGGGATGTTGTAGAACATTCTTTTCAGGGGTGTGGCTTTCACTTATGCTGCATTTGTTTAACTCTGTGAAGCTGTTAATTTTTTGCCTGTATAAAACACCTGATGGTTCTAATAAAAAACTGAATGGCTAATAGTGAGGCAGGAGCAAGGATAGGCAGGGCGGGCAGAGAGAATAAATAGAAAGAAAGAACAGCAAGAGAACAGGAGGGGAGGACATCAGGGGCCAGCCACCCAGCTATGCAGCAAGCCACGGGGAAAGAAGTTAAGAAAGGTATACAAAAATAGAGAAAGGTAAACGCCCAGAGGCAAAAGGTATTTGAGATAATTTAAGAAAAGCTGGCAAGAAACAAGTAAGTTAAGGCTGGGCATTCATAACTAAGAATAAGCTTCCATGTGTGATTTATCTGGGAAGTGGGTGGTGGACCCCAAAAAAGTCAAAAGAGTGATAAAGTCACACAACACCGGGAAGCAGAGAGCAATGAATGTTGGCATTGAGCTAGCTTTCTCCTTTTTATGGTTCAGGACCCCAGGCCATGGAATAGTGCTGCCCCCACTTAAAGTGAGTATTCCATCTCAAATAACCTAATCTAGACAATCCCTCACAGACATGAGATTTGTCTAGATACTAAGGTGATACAAGATCTTGTCAAGTTGACGTTTAGTATAAATCACCATGCATATCCAGGCTCAAGGTTGGCCCCACTTCCCAGGGCATTTGTTACCCTATCTTGCCATGACCTCCAGAAATTCATTTATTTCACTATGATAACATCAGTCATCCTCAAATTCCCTCCCTCATATTTCCAGTGAGGGTACTCCCCAACACGTGTGCACACGCATGTGCAAGCACACACATGTGCACACACAATAAGTACTGTAGTGCATACAAAGCTCTTCACACATAATGAGCATCATTTGTTTGTGGCTATTATTAGTCTGTGCTCAGTAAATCCTGACATAGCAAAGCACTTAGGGGGAGCTCGGGGATATGATACAGAAAAAGAAACACACAGTACAATCACGTGTAGCACACTTAGCTCTATGTCCCTAGCCTCCAGCACAGGGACTGACAGTATAGATGTTGTCCTAGTCACTATTATATTGTTGTGAAGAGAGCTCACGACTATGGCAGCTCGTAAAAAGAATGCATTTAATTGGAGGCTTGCCTACAGTTTCAGAAGTTAGTTCATTATCATCATGATGCAGAGCTTTGCAGAACACATGGTGCTGGAGCAGGAGCTGAGAACTTTATATACTGATCCCCAGGTAGGCAGGCAGGCAGGCAGGTAGGCAGAGAGATTGGGTCTAGAAAGGCCACACCTCCTAATCCTTTTCAGATAGAGCCACTCCCTAATGGCTAAGCCTATATGAGCCTATAGGGGCCATTCTTATTCAGCCACCACAGACGCTCAAGATACGAAGGCATCCTTGTGCAAGAGTCTCTGATGAGGCTCCAAGAGATGATTCTCTCAGGACCACACAGCGAATGGGCAAGCACGTGACAAGCCACGAAGCCGGTCAGAAGACGACTCCCTAAGGGGATGCCGCTGACAAACGCTGCGGGCCGCAGGAGCTACACAGGGATGGAGCATAAGAGAGGCTGCGCCATGGACTCCTTCCTCCTCCTTTCCATCCCGATTCTCATCTCAAGGTAAGAGCAACCAATCCTTAGTCTGGGGTGGAGACTCAAATAAGAAAGGACATGGAGAAAGCGGGAGGATGATGGGCTCTGAGAGGATCAGGGAATGAGACTAGGAGAGTCTCACTGCGGTAACAAGGAGTTCCCAGAAAATGTCAGCGAGAAACGGGGCTCAATGTTGGCAGCTGCTGAGACCAAGGAGGCCCTGAGAGAATCTCAAGAGCCGTAGGTTTTCTTGTTTTGAGACAGGGTCTTGCTGTATAAGTCAGACTGGAGAGTCTCCTCCCTCTGCCTTCACTGTTGATATGCACCTCCAGGCTGGCTTAACAGGTAGTGTTTGTTGCTGGTTTTTAAGATAGTCTCATGTAGCCCAGGCTGGCCTATAACTAGGTATATAACTAAGGATGCCCCTGAACTTTTGATCCTCCTGCCTCCACCCCTGAAGTGCTGGGACCGCAGGCATGTGCTACCTTGCTGGTTTTATAAATTACTGGGGTAGAACCCATGGTTTGTGTATGTTTCGTGGAAGCACTCGACCCACTGAAAGCTACATTCTTGGGCCTGGATGTTGGTGTTCTGTATGGGTTAGGGGCACCTGGAGGACTAGAGACTCCGAGGAGGGTCTGAAGATACGGTGAGAAGACAGAGGCTCATGGGAAAACCGGTCTTCCGTGAGAGGAGTCTGGCCTGAGGAATGATGGGAGTGTGGCTAAGGAGTCTGGACTCCCCGAAGATGCCCAAGGAGATGCACACATAGAGCCTCTCGGAAGAGAGGGAAGGGAACGCGGGAAAGGACAAGGTTTGGGGATCTGCCTAGAACTACAGTCTGCAGAGCTGACCTCTGGGGGTCGGACCCCCTCCCAACTCCCCTTTTCCCAGTATCACCTCCTCCCATCCCACTCCACCCCCGCCCTGGATTGCGGCGCCTGCGCGCAGCAAACTCGCTTTGCTCTGCTCCAGCTCCGACAGCTTCTGCTGGCTCCGGAGATACAGACCCAGAGGTGAGCTCAGTCCCTGCTCCACGTAGCTCGACCCCTACCCGGCTGGCTCCCCTGCTCCTAGGAGCGCTACCCCACCCCCACTCCCCTTCATGATTGTGTCCGGCCACAATTGTGTCTAGCTTGGGGAAGTGGAGGTGATAGAGAGCCCCTTGGCACTGTGGGCTCGACACCCCAGGTTTCATAGACTAGGCAAAGGCTTCAAAGGATGAGTTCCCCCGCCCCCTCCAACAACCTATTCCCATTCTGTCGTGCCTCAGTTTCCCCCCTGGGAAAGTACGCAGTTTTTTTCGCCCCAAAGGGTGATCAGATCAGGGAGCAGAGCTGGTGTTCCTGATTTCCCCCGTAGCCTCCTCCTAAGAAGGGTTTTCCAGCCGCGCTGGGGTGGGCGTGCCTAAGGAGATATTCAGGGCGTCCTCCAGCCCACAGGTCTTCTTCGTGACCCGTCCCCGCCGCTACAGAACTCCTTGCCCCGACCCACGCAGCCTCTTCCTCTTCCCACTAGCTTCTCATCAAGTCTCTCCCTTTGCAGGTTAGGCTCCTGGATGTTTCCATGGCAACCCTCGGGCTCTTCAGCATCCTGTCGCTCTGTCCTTTCCCCACACACCCCCACCCCACTCTATGACGGGAGGAGGGGGAGGCTCACTCAAGGTCACCTTCCTTCTTCACTATCAGCAGGAAGAACCGATCCTTTGCATTTGGAGGCCGTGCCTGTGTGAAATACAAGGGAGGGTCTGACTCTGGCCCCTTGTCCTGTGTCCCTCCCCGCCCCTTCCGGGCCTCGACTTTCCGCTTGGGTTGAGTCTCCTACTGTCCTCCAGCCCCATTCATTTTCCTCACCAGCGTCTCCAGCCTCGCACCCGGTGTTCTCTGCTCTGGTCAGGCCTCCGCCCCTTGCCTTCTCCTCAGTATCCCCGCAGTCTGGTTGTGTAGCCCTCGCTTTATAGGTCACTGCTACACCTTGGCGTCTACCACTTATCATTCTCTGGGTTTTGCTTTTTAGTCCTTCCTTTATTTTCTTCCTTCCCTTGAATTGTGGGGAGAGTGGAGAGCCACAATCCAGTCAGCACCCTTATGCACATGTGTGCCTCGTTGGGGTCTCCAAAAGCACGGTGTGTGTGTGTGTGTGTGTGTGTGTGTGTATCTATGAAGGGATCCTAGGGTCACGCTGATTGAAGTTGAAAAGGGTCTTAGATCCCTCTTACTGTTCAGAACAAGTGCACTGATTTTGTTTGAAGCTGCACAGGGAACCGAGGGAGGTGGGAAAGAAGAAGCAGAAAGTCTGGGCCTTCCCAGCACCTTGATGAACACAGGCCCCTTCTATCCCCTGGATCTGAGTTTCCTTTTGTGTGTTCCTAAATGGTCTTTCCTGGAAATCTGATAGTCAAAAAGACTGGGAGGCCATAACGAGTCTCACTTTCTGTAGACTCAAAATTCCTTGGGACTTGTATGCTATAGTAGTCGGCCCTAGGCTTTCAGGCCGATGCAGCTTGAGGTCTCCCACCCACTGGACAAGTATCATCCATGAAAATTACCCCGGAAGGAGTCCTGAAAGAGAGGGCACATGAAGACCTCTCGCTCAAAAGCATGGGAGGAAGGAAATAATAACAGAAACACAGTAATGGGGCTGTCCATATGGCTCGGGGGTAAGATACATGCTGCTGCCAAGCTAACGGCCAGAGTTCAAGTCCCAGGGCTTACATGGTAAAAGGGGAACCGACTCCTGCAAGTCTTCCTCTGACCTCCACACATGCTCACATGCACGCACATGTACATCACACAGATCTGAATAAATAAATTTATTTTATGTACTAATAAATAAATTTCAAGAAGAAAACACCAAAATAATCACATCAGTCCCTTGGATGAAACAGTTGTCATTATTAACCCTATTTTGCAAACAAAGAAGGTCAGAGAGGTCAGTACATATGGCTAAAGTCATATCAAGGAAGCGTAGGTCTGGGTCTCAGCCCAACTCTCCAGTTCCAGGGCCACATTCCAGCTGCTGGATGGTCTGCAGAGAAAACAGACAGATGGACAGACGGCTACCAGGCATAAGGCTAAAAGCCACTGGCTGGTGCATGAAGGACTTAGGGGAAGACAGGGAAAGCTGACCGGCTAGGTGCACTGTCAGGGGAGGTGTCCAGTGATGGTGAGGAGTGGTGAATGGGCCTCTCCTGGTGAGAGGGTTGCCATGGCAACTCCTGCTGATCTCCCCCCCACCCTCCACCCCTGTCACTGTACTTGTGCCCACAGGGACCCATGATGAGCTGCAGTCGCTCGTGTGTCTGTAGCCATGGCACCAGTGTGGAGGAAAGTACGTGGTATGGGATTGAAGCCTACCCCAGTATCTTCTACAGGGAGAGCGATAACCCAGAAGGACCCCTCGTTCAGTATAACTACAGCCCTTGGCCCTCATTGTGTTGGAAGGTAAGGCCGAAGGAATGACTCTTGTGGCTTTGGGGAGGAGGGGGGACTGGATGAGGCCCAGAGTGTGGGTAGAAGAGAGACGATGGGGTGGTCGGGAGTGTTACGCTCAAGCGACAGAAAATACAGTGCAGATAGGTTTCAATAACAAAGCTCATTTTCTGGACGGGAGCAGAGGTTGGACAGCAAAGGACCGAGGAGTCTGCCAGCTTTTTCTTAGTCCTCCAGTTCCCCGTGTTAGCAGCCCACACAGCCCACCAGCCTCACGCTCTTTTGTGGTGCTCCTCACATGCTGGCTACGGTGCTGACTCTTGGACCATTTGGTTATCAGGGGCTGGAGAGATGGCCCAGCAGTTAGAGCACTGACTGTTCTTACAGAGGCCCCACATGGTACCTCCAGCTGCAGGGAATTCAGTGCCCTCTTTGATCTCCACAGGCACCAGGCACGTGTGTGGTGCACAGACATAGTCAAGCACACACTCATACACGCAGACTGAATACATCTAAACACTTTGACAGAACGTGTGCGTATGTATAGTCCTTTGTGTGCAAATGCAGGTGTGCATGTGGAGACAAGAAGGCAACTTCACAGCCTTTCTTGTAGGTTCCAGGCCTCGATGATTCGGGTCATCAGTGAAGCCCTAGGTTTGATCCCCAGCACTGCATGAACTGGGTGTACTGGTGCCAAACTTCGATCCTAGACCTAGGAAGGTAGGAGCAGGGGGGACTAGAGTGTCAAGGTCACACTTGACTATATAACAAATTTGAGGCAGCCTGAACTACATCTGTCTAGAAAGAAAGATCAAGCTAAAATAGCCAGAAACTCACTGAAGGCCTCCCTGGGATGCATAATAAAACTGTGTCCCATACCTTGGGAGGCTGAGGGAGAAGGCTCCTAAGTTCAAGGCCAGCCTGAGATAGAAATAGTGTGTTATACGCCAGCCTAGGCAACCAAGTGAGACCTGACTGGAAATACATAGATTAATTAATAATGAATAAACCAATGATTTGAAATGAAGAAGGAACGAAAGCATTTTGTTCCTAGAAGTCTGACTGTTTGGGCCGCTTGCCAGCTCTGTGCTGATTACCATCGCTTTGGAGAGGAAACCCAGTGGCAGCAAGTGGGGTTCATCTCACCTGCGTCTCACTGCGGTTCCCCACTGTGGGGTACCACTGACATCATCTCACCTACATCTCACCGCGGTTCCCCACTGTGGGGTACCACTGACAGGCTGTGAAGAGATGCGAGGTGCCTGCAATGGGCCCAGCTCATCATTAGATACTGTAGAGAAAACTGAAGCAGAGGGTTCCTCATTCTGCTCCCAAGGGCTTCCTCTACCATTAGAGGTGCTAACCTGTGGAGAGAGACCAGCCCTCAGCCTCAGATCAGGTGTGTAGAGATGCCAGGACAGGTAACGGCCTCGGAACCTGGGATGACCAGAGAAGACTTCCTGAACAAAGTGTTTCAGGCAGGACTTAGTAGGCAGAGGCAGGAGAGCATGTGTGTGAGGGTGTGAGTGTGTGTGCGTGCATGTGTGTGAGTGTGTCCGTGTGTGAGGGTGTGAGTGCACGTGCGTGTGAGGGTGTGTGCATGTGTGTGTGAAGGTGTGCACGTGGGTGCGTGCGTGTGTGTGAGGGTGTGAGTGTGTACATGTGTGTGTGTGAGGGTGTTGAGGGTGTGTGCGTGTGTGTGATGAGGGTGTGAGTGCGTGTGTGTATGTGAGGGTGTGTGTGTGTGTGTGTGTGTGTGAAGGTGTGGGAGTGTGCGTGTGCATGCGTGTGTGTGCATGTGTGTGTGCGTGTGTGTGATGAGGGACTACACTTAAACATTCTACCTCTGAGCTACACCACAAGTCCTCATTTTATTTTTTATTTTCAGGCAGGGTTCCCTAGGCTAGCCTTGAACTCAGTCTGTAGCTCAGGCTGGCCTCACAATCACCATCTCCTACTTCAGTCTCCTGATAGCTGGGAGACGTGCCCAAACTTTGCTCTCAGATGGCACAGTTCAGTAAAACAGGCAGACGTCACTCACTTAAGAACCAAAGTCCATGTCCAAATGTGTTCAGAGGTGGCTCCACTGAAGGACTAATTGGCCCTGGGCTGTGTAAAGAGAAAGACACCTGCCCAAACTGGAAGTGTCCTGGACACATCTCAGAGGAGGGATGGCTTGAAATAAGACTTGAGGATATCTGAGCATCAGCCTAGCAAAGAGACGGAGGGTGGAAAGGATCATGGGGTGAGACGGCACCCAAAGAGGGGTACCAAATAGAGCTGGGATATAGCTCAGGGAGTAAAGTGCTTACCCTGCAAACATGAGGACATGGTGCAATAACAGAGTAGAGTTGGGTATGGCAGTGCTTGCCTTTAATCCCAGCACTTAAGAGGCAGGTGGAACTTCACGAGTTCAAGGTCAACCTTGGCTATATAGCGAGTTCCAGAACAGTCAAAGCTACCTAGAGAGATCATGTCTCAAAATAAATAAATATTTTAAAAAATTATTCTAATCCTATTGCTGGAGAGACAGACAAGAGGATCTCTGGGACTTGCTGGCCAATGAGCTTAGCCTAATTAACCAGTTCCATTTCCTGGTGAGAGATCTTATTTCAAAACCTAAACAGCTCCTAAGATACAATACCAGAGGGGTTACATGTGACATTGCAACCCCTCTATACAACACACACACACACACACACACACACACATACACACGTATACACATGCACATATACACTCGAATAATAATAAGTGGGGCCCAGATAATGATGGACAGAACTCAAGGTTGGCTTTGTCATTGAGGGAAAACTTTACCAGAGTGGATATGGTGATACACACCTGCAATTCCAGGACTTAGAAGACCGACTCCAGGCCATCTTGGGCTATATAGACAATTCTCGGCTATTCCGGTCATGACCTAGTCTCAAAATGAAATTCAAAAGGGGTTGAAGCTGTAGCTCAGTGGCAGAGTGTTTGCCCCTAACATGTTCAAAGTCCTGGTCTCTGCCCCCAGCACTGTCAGTTAGGTCCTACGGGGATGTTCTGTGAGGCCCATTTCACGCTCCTATGAGACTGGACCCCAGCTGAGCATGGATGCTTGCCGTTCTGTCTGCTCTCCTCAGGTGACCGTGTCCGTGGCGTCCCTGCTGCTCCTGCTCGGTGTGGCAGCCCTGACCACTGGCTATGCAGTACCCCCCAAACTAGAGCTGGTTAATGTCAGTAGGTTCTCATCTTTGGATGATCCAATAGCCGACTATAACCAAGCGCTGATCACCTGCCGCGTGGCAGGCGCGACGCTGTGCGGGACAGCGGGGATCCTGCTGGCTGTCTGCCTCTTCTTGGCCACCTCCAGTTGGCTGAACCAGGACATCAAGGCAGAGCCCTTGGTCACCGAAGCTGACAGCCCTGTGGAGGTCTTCAGAGATGAGCCCGAGCAGCTGTCCCCAGGCTTCCATGATGTCAGCAATCAGTCTTGGTTCTTGGCTCCCACCAGTCCTTTGGGGCAATGTTCTGTGCAGACCAGCCAGCCCCAAAGGGACTCCTAAGTCTGCAGGCTAGAGAAATCAGACACTTCCCCGGGTACTCCTTGCCCATTACCCTTCTTCTGCACCGTAGTGCCAGTCTCTCCAGAACCCTCATGGCCCCCTCCCACTCCCCAGTAAGTCTCATGCTCCAATCTCACTTCTGCTCAAGACAGGGGTAAACTCAACTAAGAACGCCCTTGCAGGCTGGTGAAATGGTCCAGTGAGTGAAGGGCCTTCCTGGCAAGACTGACAACCTGAGTTCCATATCTGGGACTTACAAGGTGGAAGAGGCCTGGCTCCCTCCAATTGTCCTTTGACACACACACACACACACACACACACACACACACCACACATCACACACAAAGAAAGGTAATGAAAAATATAAGGTTCAGGGATTAGGAAAAGTGGGACATCTTTGCCCCTCAAAGTCCAGCCCCTAAACAGCAATGCCCACTGGGCCTGATTCTGATCCTACTAATAAGTGTGCCATCCTGGAAGCCCCATCCCCTTCTTCCTATGGACTGTCCGGGCAGAAAGATTTCCTTTTGTATGACAGTAGAGGGCGCTCCAGGACAGCAGAGGATCTTGTGGCAGACCAGCTGGCCTTTAGGGCTTTCTCGGGACAGGAAAAGGGTTCAGACAAATCCCTACCACATTTGAGCCCTGCATGATGTACTCTCCCTGTTTCTCACCTCCCCCATCTTGCCTCGCCTTTCAATAAACAGTTCAGATGAACACTGTCTTTGCCTCTTTTCTCCTACATCACTGGAATACGGGGAATGAGAGAGAGAAATGGTTCCTAGCCAAGATTACTGTATGCTTAAGTTCTTGATTCCCATTTGCTCCCCAGGACAACCCTTTAAGAAAAAAAATTATTAAACCGTGGTGACTGAAGTCTTTAATCCCAGCACTCAGGAGACAGAGGCAGGTCCAGCTCTGAGTTTGAGGTCAGCCTGGTCACACAGAGAGTTTCAGAACAGTGAGAGCTATGTAGAGAGACTCTGTCCATTAGAAAGAGAGAGAAGAAAAAGGAAAAAAAAAGATTATTGTGTCCATGGGTAAATAACTAATGGTCAGAGATGGGAAGTCAGGAGTCTAAGACCATCCCAGTGTTTGCGCTAGCTTTACTGGTTCATTGCTCCAGTTGGCTCTCCTTTCTGTCCTTGGGGTGGGAAGGATATCAATAGCTCATCCCTGAGAGAATGTGGGGAGGAGGGGGCAGAAGCCAAAAGGGGCTCTTTTGCAGGACCCTAAGAACAAGGCACGGTAGCGTATTTCTGGAAACTTAGTTCTGGGGAGGTTGAGGCAGGAAGACAGAGACGGTGCAAGTTCAAGGCCAATATGGGCAACCTAGCAAGAAACACACACACACACACACACACAGAGAGAGAGAGAGAGAGAGAGAGAGAGAGAGAGAGCGCCCTCTCCGTGAAGGACATGAGCAAGGCCAGGCCCCATTCTCTGTGTTTCACAGATTCACAGACAAGAATTTAATATCCCTGACACAAGCCAGTGTGATCCCTGACACAAGCCAGCATCATATGAGAAGCTGTCACTCTGAAGCCTGGCTCCTGTCTTCAGTCGTGTTTTCAAGTGCGTTAACCACAGAGTGCATTTCATACCCACCATCCCCACTGTCTCGTTCATTGCTCTGCCTGACCCCACTCAACGCCTCTGCTGCCTCCGTTATGGAGAGAAATTCAGGTGCTCTGCCAAGCCTTGGAGTTATTCCTGACTCCTTCCTTTCCTCATACCTCAAACCCAGTGTAACTCAGCCTTGGACACAGATCCTATCCCCTGCCATGTCCTGGGCCAAGGCAGCTCCGTGACCTAGGCCACCACCATTGTCCCTCTCTCCCTCGGTTACAGCACCGGCTGCCATCTGGTGTCTGGACCCCATCTTTGTGTACACATCCCACTTCCCAAGTCTGTGCATACACATCCCACTTCCCAAGTCTGTGC